TGTATAAAGTATTTTATATCTACAAAATATGTGGGTAAAACAGGGTAGATGATGATGAGGATAAAAGCTGAAATAGAGGAACATTAGTAGTATGGACCTAGTGCCCTATAGGTAAACATTGGCAGCAATGGACCTAGTACCCTATAGATGAGCACTAGCAGCTGCGCCACAACCCGTAGATGTTTTAGATCTATGGTAAACGTCCTAGCAGCTGCGCTCTACGGACAGTATCGGCAGCTGCGCCTAATAGGGAGCCTTATGACCATGACAATAGCGTTTAAAGGTCAATACCGGCAGAAGCGCCTCATAGAAAATGTCCCAGTTCTGGCAGCTGCACCTAAGTGATAGAACTAGCAGCTGTGCTTGACATCTGTGTCATTGAAAACAATGGACTTCGTACATATTCCTTAGGATAATCCTTAGGAATGAATGAATGAGAAATAGCTGATCCTTAGGGTAAATCCTTAAGAAGATAATGGGAATGGGTAATTGGGTTGATTGTTTGATGTTTAAATATAATAATTATATTATTGTGGGTTGAAAACCCTATGTACTCACCAGGTTTCCCAACCTGACCCACTCCAACTTATTTGTATCACATGTGTCGATACGAAGCTACTTTACATTGAGAGATTTAAAAAAGATGTGGATCACTAGTGTAAATAAATGTAAGTTCTGTTTATGCTTATGTTCATGTATTGAAGATGACATCCCAATGTTTTAAAATGAATAAAAAAATACATTTCTTCGGAAATGCTTTGATAACGTAATTATCATGTTTTTCTGGGGACAAATTCCGCAACACTTTTATTAAAAAAAAGTACTCTGATTTTTATAAAGCATAAACAAAATCGGTCTTTTCTGGCCGTGAAAATTGGGGATGTCACAAGAGTATAGATGGCGACCACAGAGTATTACTAGACAGTCATGTGGAAACACCAGCAGGCTCATAACCTGTAGGTGGTGAATTACGTGTTCATGCGATGTTGTAACTACGTATTCATGCGATGATACTCTAACCATTACTATGAATTACGAGTTCAGGCGATGTTGTAACTACGTATTCATACGTTGATACTCTAACCCTTAGTCCCTTACTATGAATTACGAGTTCAGGCGATGCTGTAACTACGTATTCATGCGATGATATCCTAAACCTTACCGGACACGTATTGAGGGAGTAATACCCGAATCAGTACTGTCTATGCAATGTAGGCGATGATCCTTAGGAAAAGTCATTAAGAACACACATATAAGGAAATACGATGTAAGGAGACGAGAGGTAAATACGATTTAGGGAGATGACCCTTAGGATAGATATTTAGGGAAGATTAAATGAAGAAAATTGGGATGAGTAATCGGGTTAATTGTTTGACATGAATTATGTGAAGAAATAAATTAAATATATTATTGTGGGTTGAAAACCCTATGTACTCACCAGGTTTCCCAACTTGACCCACTCAGTTTATTTGTATCACAAGTGTCGATACGAAGCTACATTACACTGAGAGATTAAAGACGTAAATCACTAGTGTAAATGAATGTAAGGTCTGTTTATACTTATATTTCTGTATCGACGATGACATCCCACGGTTTTAATACAAACAAAATACATTTATTCGGAAATGCTTTGATAATATATTTATCATGTTTTCTGGGAACAAATTCCGCAATATTATTCTTTAAAAATGAATACTTTAATTTTCAAATAAGCATAAAGAAATTTTTTAAAATGACCGTGAATTTGGAGATGTCATAGTTGGTATCAGAGCATTAGTTTAAGCAAACTAGAAATAAGGATTTATTTGTAGACTTAAACTTAGAAGGCTAAGCGATGATTGTGAAGAGTGTGTCTAATATACTTTAGGTTTGTACACCTGAATAGACACAAACACTAGCTTATTTAGGGAAGATGCCTAAAATGCTTTTATGTGCTAAATGACTTGTGATGCTTTATGATGTTATCGATTGATCGGATCTATGGTCTGTTGCTGACCGGATCTGGAAACTTTATGTGTTCAGATTTCTAGACGTTTAATTACGGTATTAGAACTGACATGTAACTTTTCAGAGTGATAAGGAGATTTATACGTATATCGTAAATAAAGCTTTCCATGTCTAAATTATCGTCACTGCACACCGAACGTCTGATGTGGTGTATAGATCGGCATGGTGAGAACTCGAAGCGGATTGGAAAGTGAAGAAATGTAGAATCAAGTATTAATCAAAATCAGAGTTAAACGAATGCAGATTGAACAAACAATATAAATAAGATCTGGTTTCTGCTCATTTACGCTTTCAACTTTTACAGAGAAAATAGACAGGTTCTATTTCGGACTCTTATCTAACTCTAGTAAAGTTCCATATTTATAGGAACAGTGAAAGCATACAAAAAATACTAAGACATTGACAATTAAGCTTCGTACGAAATACACCTTAGTAAATAAACATTACAAAACATACGAAGGGTAAAACAGACTTCGACATATTACAACAAAATTCGACCCTAACAATCTCCCCCTTTGTAATAATGTCGACCTTCGTCAGTTCAAAAGTATATGTATAACATACAACATAACTCTTCGAATCTCAGTGTGCCACGAGATTATCTTCTTCAGTTCCTTCTTATCTCCTTCATTATTCTTCTTGCATCTATTCATACGAACAATGAAATTCGTATATTGGAATGTTGTATATCTTTCCACTTCGGAAGCTTGAAACAAGAATCTTTTCGCCTTCCCATTTTTATCTTTCCCAGCAAATACCATACCAAATGGTTTCAAACATATTTCTCCGTCAGCATACTTCTTCAACTCAGGTTGAGTTAAAGGAAGTTCCATTGGCACTTTTACAGTCAATCCCTTTGCTGTAGCTAACTCAACATCAGTAAGAGCTAAACACTCATAATAGTTGTCAATGAAAATCTTGATGTGAGCCAACCCAAGTCGAAAAACTTCAGGATCAGTTTCTCGAAAATATGAAGCGTCTTTATCCTTTAGTAACAATGCAACTTGTATCAGATCATACAAGTTCATTAAGGGAAAATCAGCTACCGAAAAATCACATACTTGCCCATTTTCCCTCGAAACAATAAAGCGAAGATTATGCATCATATTTTCGAACAATACATCTCGCTTTATGCTTATCACCTTCTTTATCTTCACCAGAGACCAAATCTCTTCTGGAAGTTTTCCAAGTACATCATGAAATCTAATCTCCATGTATGTGTACTCATCATCATTGTAAAATTTCTCAGCAATTTTGTACTGAGCCATGATGAACATCATTTCATTGATGGGAAAATCTAATTGACACATATCAGTGTTGAGAACAACATAGCTTCTCTTTGGCTTCTTTTCGAAAGCATACATATGATTATATGCAACTTTCGACTCTATTGTCTCATAATTGTAATGCTTTGAAGGATCACCCTTGTTCATCCCAGGTGGATCATTTGCACGAAGTCGCATAATGCTTTGTACAATTCGGAGCTTTTCAACTTCAGCCTCCGCTTCAGCTTTCTTTTCTTCCTTTTACTTTTTGACCATAACAGTTTTGCCTTTGTCTTTTAAAGAGGAATTATCAACACTTTCCTTAGGCTTCGAACTGTTGCCTCCTTCTCCAATCATAATTCCTTTGGAAATTGATTTTGAAATTGGCTTCGTTGTCACTGGAATTGTTGTTACAACAGTCGAAATAACTGGCTCAGCAGTAGACACAAATGGTTTTGTTATTTGGAATCTTCATGGAAAACTCCTTTCCAACAACCTTTGCATCTACATGCAAATCTTCACCCCTAGCCTTCGTACTACCATCCTCCTTTTCTCCCCCTTGCACCCCTATGAAAATAGGTGGGGCATTCTTCGGAAGAAGGCTAGAAATATGAGAAAGTGGAGCAAGTTGTTTTTGCAAGATCGCTTCAAAATGAACGAACTTTTGAGACAAAAAGTCTGGAGTGATTAATGGAGATGAAACAGATTTTACAGTTAACTCTTTAAGCTCCTTCAGCGAACTAAGCATTTCCACAAAGCTTTGATTTTCCATGGTCGACAATTGAGTAAGTTGAGGACGCAAATCTTCGTACAGTTTGACATATTTGGTAACAGCATCACAAATAATGTCAACTTTCTGATTGATCGAAGCATAATCACGTTGTACGCTTGAGATTTCTTTTTGCATATCCTGTCGAAGTTCTTGGATTTGCAAATTTACATTTTCCCTCACCTTCTTGATATCTTGAACGAATAGTACATGTCGTTCTTTTATCAAATGCTTGAATTCTTTCACTTCCCCTCTGAACATCGAATTGAGAGAATTGACCCGTAATTCATCATTTTGATCATTGTGATCAATCTTTTCCAACAGACGAATCTCTGAATCTCGGACCATTCCAGAGACTTTACTTACCACTTTTCCTTCGAATGTTTTCAGTATATTATCAACGTCCAGATGAGATACAGACGAATTATTCCCCCCAAATCAGCTTGTGATTGAAGAATAAAATTCAACTTCTGGTTAAGAATCTTGAATTGTTTCATCGTCATCAACATATGATCAGGGAAGTGATCTTCTTCATCATCAAACTGTAAATCTTCAAAGGCACCTCCAAAACCTTCATTATCAGTAACAAATTCAACAACAGGTGAAGGTTGAACAGGTGAATTAATTTTGAGAGAATCAGTAGATTGAGATGGAAAAAGAGTGGTAAAGGGTTGATGAAGAATGGTTTCAAAAGTTGGGGAATTTGTAGTATTCAGAAGAATAAAAGGTGGTAAAGACACAAAACTGTCTGGTTTTGAAGATACAGTAATACCTTGATTAGTAGGTGCAACCTCTTTGTTCGACTCTCCCTCACCCATGTTGACATTTACATCCATATCAGATACGTGTGTAACAATGCCTGAAGTTCGAACCTCCTCAGTATGTGATTCAGTTAACGAGACTTCGGGTGGTATGACTATTTTCTTCTTAGGAGTAGATACAGATTGTGAAACAATTGGTTATGGTGTTTCAGGAACAATTTCTTCTTCAGAAGATGCCTCTTGAATAACCAACTTTCTTTGTCTTTTCTTCTTCTTCGAAATATGTTTGGCCACATCTTCAGCTCTTCGTTTCTTAGATAGAGGCGAGACTAGAGCTGGAACCTCTCTAAAAATAACTCCTTGATGAGAGAGTTGTGGTTTACGAACATTAGAAGGAGAAAATTTTGATCCACCATCAGAAGATTTTCTGGAACCCCTAGACCTTTTCTTCAAACGACGAAAAACACCAGTTTTCGAAGGAATTTTCTCTGCCACTACAGTATCATCAACAGGTTCCACCGGTTTGATGACAACAGTCGAGACATTCACTTCAGCCATCTCAGGCTTCTTTGGAGACTTTGTAGATTCATGCACAATCTTCTCAAGAGACTTCTTTGATTCATGCACTGGATTTTTCTGGTGTAGATTTTGCATCCTTTTTAGAACGTTTAGACTTCTTGGAAGGACCAGCTTCTTCTTTCGACAATAATTTTCCAGTCTCAACATCTGGATTAATGGTTTTCAAGTACTTGACCAACACTAAATTTGTTGGCTCAACCCTCTTTAACATTGCATCAGGAATCCGAGCAATGTGTGTGAATACCTCCATATCATCCGAAACTTCCTTTGGGAAGTGATACTTCAGAAACTCAGCCTTTTCTTTATCAGCAGGGACAACAATTCCTTCTTTATCATAGAAATAACCAAGGATTAAGCTCCAATACCTAGCACACGAAATGCCTTGAACCACATTCATGTTTTCGACACTCTTTTGGAATTCCTTCCATAGTTGAGTAGAGTAGTCGACAGAGATATCATAATACAATCATGCCACCATCGCATAAACCTCCATGCGACCTTTGTCTAAGCCAACACTTCGACCTGTCAAGCATCGAAGAAAAATTCCAAACAAGAAATTCCAAACAGTTGGCAGAGCTGATTTCTTGAAATCACTGATCTTTGTGAGTGGAGGTTGATGACCCATCTCATTAAACATATGAATAACTTGTGCATAAGAAAGATCAGTAACAAGTTGAGAATTGGGAATATCCAGAATCTGATAAAAGATCTTCTTGGACAAACGGATTTTCTTGTCATTCACCAGTTGAAAGGTGATGATATCCATTGCTTTGCTATAAGTAGCAGTGGATCCTTCCTGAGAAAGCCATGAGAGAGGAACTGAGAAAGAATTGAACATCGCCTTGGAAAGAACAGAACTCTTCAATGCGACAATTAGCATCTTCAATTCTTCTGGATACAAAGACACATCTGCTTCCACTTGATAATTAGTGCTTTGAATCTTCATGATCGGTTTAGAAGTGATGTCTTCAGTTGTTCGAGAAGTAGAATCAACGCCAGCCATGATTAGGGTTTAGAAGCTTTGAAGAACAGAGAGAATTTGGGTATTTGAGTTCTTTTGTGTGCGTAAAAAGATAAAGAACCCATAAATACCCTTTTTATATGTAACCCTTAATTTGAATTGAACGCGGGATAGGCATTGATTGAGATCCGACGTGGCACCTTAAAAGTCGCACCAGTCTACCAATAAAGTTGCCATGTGTCAAAAAGTAACTGTCACATCGCCTTGAAACCAGGAAACGTCTCCTCACACAGTCTGTTCGTGTCTCGTCAAGGAATAGTAACCGTCAGCAACCTTCGAATGGAGGTTAAGCTCTTTCGTCTTTGGGTTTAGAGACGAAGTCATTTGCTAGACTGTCGAAATCATCAGCCTGAGTTGGTATTACTCAGAACCTCAAGGATTTCGTGTGTGCTGTGTGCCAAAGAAAAGATAAGAAACAAATTAACAAAAATTTGGATCTGTGATGTCAAAAATGTCGACACAAAAGCAGAGAAACCCCGGGCAAAGGTTACTTCATTAATTATCAAGAGAGATAATCAACTGCTTGTATATTGTCCCGTGAATTACAATCTAATACCTGTAGAGAAGTATCGAAGGGCTTCTTTTGTTAGGCTTATTGGGTAGTTTAAAATTTCGTTACATATCATCCTAAACATAAGGTGAGTAATTGTAACCGAAATTACTTGTTTTACCAGTGTATAGTCAGTGACAAGTATGCTTTGAAATATGTTGATAGTAACTTTGAAAGCAAATGAAACTCATACATAAATTATATTAAAAAAAATATTTGTTCTGGATCCTGTTGGGTAACAAACATCGTGGGTTTCGATAGTTTGATCAAGATCACGCAAAAGAATAGAATATGATTTTGAGTTTCGAAAAATGATACTGAAACAAATGTTTCGTCAAATTTGGAACATAGTTCCCCGCCAATTCCTTATTAAGATATGAAGTTGGGTTTCACTTTCATCACGACCTCATGATGTCAGATCACTAACACATAATTTTGATATATCTAAATCTTGATGGGTTGAATCAAAGACCTCTTGGATATGTCTTCATGTGTGCAAATGTAAGAATTTTTGTGATGAAAAAGAGTGTTTATGAAGAACGAAAATTGTACCTCTGTTATTTTCGGACAAAACAGATAACTCTTAACTCATGTGAGAAGAGTAAGGTAGCTCAATCGACTAATGTGAATATAAGCCTGACTTGGGAAGAAATTTTCGTATGAAAAATTTCATTAAGGCTTTCGTAAACACACATAAAGTCTACAGAGGCTTGGGTCAACATGCTGCAGCATGCTTCTAGGGACAACCTAACTAGTACATAGTTGAAGAAAGTTTACCTTCCCATAGAAACATAAGCATGACCCTTAAAAAATGTTCGTGTTATCTGCACAATGAAAAAGAAACAAAGAGAATAACAAAAATCTTTTTGATATTTTTGATTTTTCAAAAAAAATATTTTTGAGTTTTTGTGAATGTTTTCGAAAATGAAACAATTAACAAAAGAAATCTTTTTGGAGTTTTGATTTTTCGAAAAGATAACAACAAAACGAAAAGAAAAATTTTTTAGTTTTTGATTTTTCGAAAAGATAACAACAAAACAAAAAAAATCTTTTTGTAGTTTTTGATTTTTCGAAAAGAAAACTAAGATACAATCGTACGAAAAACATTTTTACAAACAAACAAAAATTTGTAAACAAACTACAATTCGCCTTTCTTACGAAAATTTGTACCACACAACCATCATGCAAATTGTCGAATTCGAAGCGTGTCGAAGCGTTGACTATGAACAGTAACCGCTGAATGGCGTCTTATTGCCTCTGAATCGACACATTTATATAACACGCCTTTGCTATACATTCGAAATCCGTCCTGGAACTGAACTCGCTTCAATCATTCCCAAACCTGTCAAAATTCGAACAAACGATTTTTCATCCAAAGCTTTTGTAAAAATATCAGCAAGCTGATCAGTTGTTTTTTACAAAATGAACTTCAATGTTTCCATCTTCCACATGATCTTTGATAAAGTGATAACGAAGAGCTATATGTTTAGTTTTCAAATGTTGTACTGGATTATGACAAATGCGTATAGCACTTTGAGAATCACAGTACAATGGAATCTTTTTCATATTCACTGCATAATCCCTCAACTGACTTTGAATCCAAATAATTTGTGATGTACAAGCAGCAGCTGCTACATATTCGGCTTCAGCAGTAGAAATCGAAACACACGTTTGCTTCTTCGACTGCCAACTAACCAACTTTCCATCCAAAAATTGACAACCACCACTTGTACTTTTTCGATCTAATGTACACCCTCCTAGATCTGCATCTGAAAATGCCTGGATGAAAAATCCTGTTTTCGAAGGATACCACAATCCTAACGAAATTGTTCCCTTGAGATAACGAAAGATATTCTTCACAGCTGTTAAATGTGGTTCTCGAGGATTTTCTTGGTACCTAGCACAATTACATACAGAAAACATGATATCAGGTCTACTTGCAGTAAGATAAAGTAATGAACCTATCATGCTTCTGTATAAAGTAAGATCAACCCCAGGCGATTCTAACGAAGGTGGTAGCCTTGTCCCAACAGCCATTGGTACTCTTAACTTCGTGCTATTTGTCATTCCAAACTTTTCAAGGAAATTCCTTGTATATTTCTCTTGATTGATGAATATGCCTTCTCTGTTTTGACATATGTTTAAGCCAAGAAAATTATTGATTTTACCCATCATGCTCATTTCGAATTGGCTTTTCATCAAGTTTTCGAATTCTCTAGACAAAGCAGGGTCAATAGAGCCAAAAATAATATCGTCAACATAAATTTGAACAAGCATCAGATGACATCCAACTTTCTTTCGAAATAATGTGGGGTCAACTGATCCTTGCTTAAATTTCGACTGTTTTAAGAAACTGGTAAGAGTTGCATACCATGCTCTTGGTGCTTGTTTTAACCCATATACAGCTTTATCTAAAATATATACATGATCAGGATGTATTTCATTTACGAAACCTGGAGGTTGTTCTACGTAAACAGTTTCTTCGAGTTCTCCATTGAGAAAGGCACATTTCACATCCATTTGATAGACATCAAAATCCTTATGAGCTGCATATGCTAGGAATATTCGAACAGCCTCGAGTCTCGCAACAGGGGCAAAGGTTTCTTCATAATCAATTCCTTCTTGTTGCGAATATCCTTTTACAACTAAACGTGCTTTATTTCATACAATATTTCCATCTTTGTCGGTTTTGTTTTTGAAAATCCATTTAATCCGACAATCGAAACATTTTCAGGTTTAGGAATTAATCTCCAAACCTTGTTTCTTTCAAATTCAGCCAGTTCTGATTGCATCGCAACAACCCAATCCGAGTGTTCCATTGCCATCTTAACAGTCTTTGGTTCAATTTTAGATATGAGAACATTGAACATGCAAAATTCTTGATGAGTATTTTAATACCTCATTCTTCGTACGAATCTGAGCTCTTGTTAATACTCCTTCTTGAGGATTGCCAATGACTTGATCTATTGGATGAGTCTTTGTCCATTTCTCTAACGGTGGATAAGCCGGATCAAATTCCAAAGGTGCATCTTTGTACATCTCTTCATTTTCAGATCCTACAACAGAAACATTATCATTTAGATCATGAAAATCATCATTTGGATTAAATTTATTGTATCATTTTCCTCCTCAACACTATTATCATTTGATGCTCCCCCTCAACTAGATGCTCCCCCTCAACAACATCATTCATTCTCCCATTCTCCCCCTCGAAAGAATGCTCCCCCTCAACCAGAGTATTCGAATCCAAGTGCTCTCTTTCGACTGGATTATCAAGCATACTTTCGCCAAGTCCAAGAGAATTCGTTGTTGAATTAACATCTACAATGTTTTGAGGAATTTTCAAGTCATCATTATGCTTCGAAGATTCAGAGTGATGATTATCATTGGCATGAACTTTAGCATCCACAACCCTGTCAGGAATACCAAAAATTAAATCATAATCAAAATCAGATGAATTTGATTCTTCAGTTTCATTAGATGATTCATTAATAATTGGTTTTT